GCGAAGAGGCTACAGGTAGATATTTTGGCCAAACATTCAGCTGAGTTTCCGGTCAGTAACTAATATCAGCTGCTAGATGGGTGAGTGCATGTGTCTTTAGATAATTCCAGCTCCCAGCTCTGGAGCCACCTTGAGCCTTGGAGTCTCAGATAAGACCTGAAACATAGTGTGGTCCAGATGAGTCATCCTTACTCTGCTCTGTCTGAATTCCCAACCACACAATTTGAGTCTAGTAAAATGGTTATTTTAGGCCATGAAATTGGGGTCATTTGAGCAGCGGCAAATAACTATACAGCTTATTAAAATAAATACCCAACTTTACTCTCCTCCCTCACTGTTCTGCTGGCGTACCCCACTGGCCAAACCTGACTGGAATCCAAAGAGCAAGGGAGCCCATTTGCTGTAACCCATGTAAGTCAGCTTCCTGGGGCAGGATTAGGGTGGATCTGGAGAGACTGACAGATATCCAACGAAGTGTGGAGTCTCATTTATACTCTTATTTCAACAATAATGTAAAGTAGAGGGGAGAAACATTAGGATGCCTAAATTTGGTCCAGGAGAGGATAAATAGTAAACAGCAATAATTTAATGATCCTTTAGCTGAATATGTAAAATGAGGTATTTGAAGTAACTAGTTTCTCAGTTCCCTTTCAGCTCTGGCCATTTTTCATGAAGAAATAGTAGAGCTTACATATTAAGAGCACAGACTCTGGTTCCATACTACTGAAAGCCATCCACAGGTTCAATGCACTCCCTACTAAAATTCCAATAGCATTTTTTTCCACAGAAATAGGAGAAAAAATCATAAAATTCATATGGAACCACAAAAACCCTAACTAGCTAAAGCAATTCTGAGAAAACTTAAAGCTGGAGACATGACACCACCTGATTTCAAACTATACTAAAAAGCTACAATAATCAACACAATATGGCACAGGCTTAAAAATAGACACATAGACCAATGAAAAAGAATTAAGAAAACAGAAATAAACCTGGTTTATTTATGGTAAACTAATACTTCACAAAGCCACCAAAAATACTCATTGGGGAAAGAAGTTTCTTCAATAAATGGTGTTGGGGAAACTGGATAGCCACATGCAGAAAATAAGATTGGACCCCCATCTTACATCACTCACAAAAATGAACATGAAATGGATTAAAGACTTGAATGTAAGACCTGAAACCATAAAACTTACAGAAGACAACATAGGGAGAAAGTTTCGTGACATTGGTCTTGGCAGTAATTTTTCAGATATGATACCAAATGCACAGGCAACAAAATAAAAAAATAATAAGTGGATTACATAAAACTAACAAGCTTCTGCAAAGCACATGAAACAACCAACAAAATGAAAAGGCAACTTATGGAATTGGAGAATAATACTTGCAAATCATATATCTGATATAAAGTTAATATCCAAAATCTATAAAACATACAGCTAACTGGCAACAAACAAAAACAAATAATCTGACTAAAAATGGGCAAAGGACTTGAATAGACATTTTCCCAAAGAAGACATACCATTGGCTAACAGGTACATGGAAAGATGCTCATCACCACCAATCATCAGGGAAATGCAAATCAAAACCACAATGAGATAACACTTCACAGCTGTTACAATGACTATCATAAAAAAAAAATCAAAGAGATAACAAATGTTGGTGAGAATGTAGGGAAAAAAACACCCTTGTGCACTGTTGGTGGGAATGTCAATTGGTACAACCACTATGGAAAACAGTATGGAGTTTCCATAAAAAAATTAAAAAATAGAACCATCATATATTGCAGAAATCCCATTTCTGGCACATATCCAAGAAAATTAAAAACAGGATCTTGAAGACATATATGCATTCCCATATTTATTGAAGCATTAGTCACAATAACCAAGATATGTCCATCAATAAATGAATAGATTAAAAATATTTTATACACATATGCACACACACACACACACACATTATCCAGTCATAATAACGAAAGAAATCCTGCTATTTGTTAAAAACAGGATCTTGAAGACATATATGCATTCCCATATTTATTGAAGCATTAGTCACAATAACCAAGATATAGAAACAATTCTATGTCCATCAATAAATGAATAGATTAAAAATGTTTTATACACATATGCACACACACAGACATTATCCAGTCATAATGAAGAAGGAAATCCTGCTATTTGCAACAACTTGGATAAAACTTGAGGGCATCATACTAAGTGAAATAAATTCAAACAGAGGAAGACAAATACTGCACAATATCACTTATATATGGATCTAAAAAAGCCAAACTCATGAAAACAAAGAATAGAATGGTGATTGTCGGGGGCTGAGGGTGGGGGAAATGGGAAATGTTGGTTAAAAGTTACACACTTTCAGCTATAAGATGAACTAGAGGGCCAGTGCATGAATCGTGCACCAGTGGGGTCCCTCGGCCTGGCCTGCAGGACCGAGCCAAAACTGGCTCTCTGACACCCCCCAAGGGACCCTGGATTTCGAGAGGGTACAGGCCAGGCTGAGGGACCCCACCAGTGCATGATTGGGGCCGGGGAGGGATGTGGGAGGTTGGCCAGCCAGGGAGGGACCATGGGAGAACTCCAGGGCATGTCTGGCCCATTTCGCGCAGTCCCAATTGGCCGAACCCCAGCAGCAAGCTAACCTACCGGTCAGAGCGTCTGCCCCCTCGTGGTCAGTGCACATCATAGTGACTGGTCGAACGGTCAACTGGCTGCCCCCTGGTGGTCAGTGCATGTCATAGCAAGTGGTTGAGCGACCTTAGCATATCACTAGCATATTACGCTTTGATTGGTTGAACGGACAACTGAACGACTGGACACTTAGCATATTAAGCTTTTATTATATAGGATAAGTTCTGGAAATAAAATGTACAGCATGGTGGTACTAGTTAATATTACTGTTATTATATACTTAAAAGTTGCTAAGAGTAAATCTTAAATATTCTCACAAAAAAGAACTAGTAATGATGGAGGTGTTAGCTAACAGTATGGTGTAAACATGCCATATATAAGCAAATCAAATCATCACATAGCACACCTTAAATTTACCCAATGCTGTATGTCCACTGTTTCTCAGTAAACCTTGGAGGGTGGGGAGGAACATAGACTCAAGAGTCAATCTGCCTGAGTTCAAGACCTGGCTGTGCTGTTAATTAGCTGGGTAATTTTGGGTGACTCCCTTAGCTTCTCTGTGCTTTAGTTCCTTCATCTGTAAAAATATTGCCTACCTTATAAGTTTGTTGTGAAGATTAAATGAGCTAATCAATGTAAAGCACTTAGCATGGTGCTGGGTGAGAATAACAGTCTTTAAGTGTTAGCCGTTTATTAAAACAGGAGGAGGAGACTGCAGGGTGAAAACTGTGAGAGGGAAACAGGAGGTGGAAAAATTCTTTCCCTTTTCCTTCATTTTCTTCTGTGAAGAGCAATAGCTGCCATTGTCTCTGATCCTTAGGTTTCTTTATAAAGATGACTTTACCAGGATAAAAGAGGTTAAGGGTGATTACAGTGGATAAGAAGGAATAAAAACTACCTTATATCATTTTTATGAACTAGAGGTAGGGTCTATTGAGTGCTCATTATGTGGGTACACTATCAGGTAGGCCTGCTACATTGGTAACCTCTTCCTAGCTTCCATTAAAAAAAAGAGATAAAATCTAAGGCAATAGTTCTACAAATGAATAATTCCTAGATAAATACCATTATTATTAATCAGATTTCTGCAAGAAATAAATGGCATATTCAAATTGCATTATGAAAAGGGTTACTAAAGGGAATATTTATAAAGACATGGGCAAGGCATCAAGAAAGAAATGACAAAGGATGAGCATTTCCCTGGGACCATTAGCCACGTGGATACTACTACCACTCCTAGACCTGAGGACACAAGAGTAGAGAGTTGACAGCGGGACCTGGAGAGAAGGCTGTATGGAGAGAATTGCAGAGAAGAGCCTTACATCAAGGGCTATAGCTGATTCATGAAACCCTTCAATAGGGAGCCGGGGAGAATACATACCCCAACCTTACTTTCTTTCAAGCTTCCAATCTATTGACAGTGTTGCCCATTGGTTGAACCCAAATAGAAGCCAGAGGAAAAGAGTGGTTGTAATCCATATAAGTCAGCCTCCTAGGGCAGAGCAAAGTTGGAGAATGGGTCTGGTGGGGCAACAGAAGACACAGTGAAGAGCATACTTCAGTAGTGTGCTGGGTAATAGCTGTCCATCCCTTGTGCCAGCATAGAAAATTACATGTATTTGGCTAAATTCTAAGATATTTCCTGTTAAATAGTGTGTAATGGATAGCTATTTGATTGTTTTTGTTTTTACTTCCCATGTCCCTGTGTCCATTTTAGAAATTATTTTTTTGATAGTAGCAATGTTCTTTGGACAATTCCTCTTCCTCCATTCTTCATCGATTGCTTGATATGAGCCTGACTCCATTGTATGGCTTCAGGGTGAACGTGTGATTCAAACAGAGCATTTTCTCCCCTGTATATAGGGATCGCTCTTCATTTAAACCAGTTACTGAATTTCAGTCCTAAAGTTTTTGCTGTAACTATTAAGAGAGTGTGTCTTGCTTTTTGTTGAAGTTGCTAAACTCATGATATCTATGCCCCAAACTTAGGTCGTATCTCTGCCTTCACGCAGTGAGAATCTGAGAATACAGACAACAGAGAAGAAAGCAGAGAGTTGTGATGGAGAAACTGAGTCACAATGGAACAGACTGGGCAGTAGCCAGGATACCTCTGGATATTTTAATTATATGAATTGATCAATTCCATTTTGTTTCTAGTTCACCAATTAGAAGTCTTTGGTTGCAATAAGATAGGAGAAAGGAAGCTGCCTAGGGTAATAGGGATCATAGGTTGAAAGAAGTCCTAGAATGGCATCTAGCTGTACTGACTACCCAGCATGTTAGAAAAAACTAGCCCTACAACTAGAGGAAAAGAAGGTCTTAAGCCATAATTAAATATTTTATTTCCTCATTTTGCATGATATAATAGTCCTATAGAGGATGCTAGCTATGCAAAGTATTTCTTCACTTCCAGAAAGTGGTTTTATAGCATTGTTCAAGGTTTCTATTTAAAGAGAATTAATGGGTCATCCTCATGTCTTATTGGGAAAAGAGTTTGTTGAGGTCTTCTGCCCATTTTTAAATTGGATTATTTTTCTGTTGAGTAGGGTCTATTGACTACTCATTATTGAGTTGTATGAGTTCTTTATATATTTTTTATATTAGCACCTTATTGGAGGTATCATTTGCAAATATCTTCTGCCATTTGGTTGGTTGACTTTTTTGTTTTGTTAATGGTTTCTTTTGCTGTGCAGAAACTTTTAGTTTGATGTAGTCCCATTCATTTATGTTTGCTTTTACTTCTCTTGCCCTTGGGGACAAGTTCATAAAATCCTCTCCAAGACCAAGGTACATATGTTTAATACGTATACTTTCTTCTATGTATTTTATTATTTTAGGTCATATTCAAGTCTTTAACTCATTTTTAGTTAATTTTTGTGTAAGGTGTCAGATAGTTCACAGATACAGGAAAAGATGCTCAATCTCTTATCTGTAAGGGAAATTCAAATCAAAACTACAAGGAGATACCACCTCACTGGTATGTTGAGGTTAAAATGGCTATTATCAATAAGACAAAAAAGAACAAGTTATATAATGGAGAAAAGGGAACCCTCGTACACTACGGGTGAGAATGTAAATTGGTAGAGCCACTATAGAAAACAGTATGCAGGTTTCTCAAAAAGTTAAGACTAGAGCTACCATATGACCCATCAATCCCTCTATTGAGTATCTAGTCAGAAACTTTGAAAACACCTTTTTGTAAAGATATATGTATCCCTGTGTTCACTGCAGCATTATTCACAAAGCCAAGACATGGAAATAACCTCAGTGTTCTTCAACAATGATTGGATATATATAATGGAATAATACTCAGCCATAAAAATGATGAAATATTGCCATTTGTGACAACATGGATGGAGCTTGAGAATATCATTCCAAGTGAAATAAGCCAATACAAAAGGACAAGAATCATGATTTCACTCATATGTGGGATATAAAACTGAAAGCAACAAATGAACAAAGTCACAGACAGTAATATAGTGGTTACCTGAAGGTAAGGAAAGTGGGGGGTGGGGGTGGGGAGGATGAAGAGGGTAAAGGGATTCAAGTATATGGTGACAAAAAGATAGTAGACTTTGAGTGGTGAGCACATAGTGCAATATACAGATGATGTATTACAGAATTGTATACCTGAAACCTAAATAATGCTATTAACCAATATTATCCCAATAAATTTAATTTAAAAATAAAATTTAAAGAGAATGATGGATATTTTTCAGTTTTAACTATGTAGCAGTTCTTAATTTATCTTTTAAAAATGGTTTTGCCAGGAATATGATACTAAAACAGTCCATTGTTAAAACAGAGTGCTTAATCTCTTATAGCATATACATTCTTAGGGAATGAGCACTATTCAGATGATACTTAGTTGTCTGGATCCTGCTCCAATTTCAAAAAGAGAGACTAAATAAGCATTTAGAAAAGAAATAAGCATTTAGAAAAGAAATAAGCATTTAGAAAAGAAAAAAAGATTTTTCTTTCTTATTATTTTCTTCTATTGTTTTCTTTCTTTCTTTTCTTTTTCTATCTCTTTTTTTTTAAATCACTCTCTTTTTAAAGATATCCACTCATCTATAGGGCTTATAGCCTAACAGGGAAGATAGGCAGGCAGTACAAGTCAGATTTTACTTTGACTGCAATTTCTCTCAAGGTTATAGGAGAATAAAACAAAACTGTGGTCAGTAATGATAACAGCTAGCATTTATTGAGCTAGACACTGTTCCAAGTACTTGGCATATATCACTTGTAGTGCAGTTCTTTGCACATAGAAGTTTAACATTTCTTTAATGAGAATTGACAGGCATAAATGGTCATCTTCCCTGGCTCATTTTATCTCCTCCTGCTGAGAGAATGCTGACTAAGGCTTTTATTTTGAAGCTGTTTCTCTCCATCCTCTATGAACACTGGATGTTCTTCCTTTTTCTTCATGTTTTCTTCTATATTTCCATCTTAAACACGGGAGTACAATGAAGTTGAATAACACTGACCCCACAGTGTAGTCACTTGACAGGGAAGTAGGCAGAGCAGGAGAATTACTTATGTAGCCTTTTCCTGTGTGGTAAAGGGCAGAATTTCTCCAGACCTCAGGACCACTCCACCCATCTCTTGGTTAGAAATACACTCAGACCTGCAGTTCTTGGACAGGACATCTGTGGCTCATTTCATGGCTGACTTAGCTGCTCAGCAAGCTTTTACAAAAGGAGTTTTGTCCCTGCTCATTCTTATTAAACTTTTTTTTTTAAATCAGCGAAGCATGACTCATGACTTTGTTTACCTTGAGAGTGTAACAGTGAATTGTGGAGAGATTTATTTGGTGCCTTATGCATTTTTTTTTTTCCTTTTGGGGCAGCTGTGGACTCTTTCTTGAAGAAAAAAATCAGAAAACATCTTTTCTCTGCACCCATCCCCAACTTCTACCCCTGCACTGTAGAAGGCAAAATTAATTAGGTTGGCTACTTCGAAGAAAAAGGATGATCATGGCTCTGTGCTTTGGAGGTAGAAGAGGGAAATGGTCAGGTTCATTCTGATGAAGCTCACTGGAGATGGTGGAACCACTGGTAGGGATGGCTGTTTGGTTACCCAAGGAAAGCACTAATCATCTCAGCCTGTGAGATGCTGTGGAAGGCCCATGTCTGAGGTCAGCATTTGGGGAGAGCACAACAGTCTCACCAAAGCTGGCAAACTTCCATTGAAGCATGAGGGTCTGGGCAAGGACCAATGGCAAAGGCATCCAAAAGTGACTAAAAACTAGCAATCTCCACTATTTTCCTTGACCATTGGGTCAGAAGAACAGAGGGACATTGGCATTCTTATCAACTTGATGAGAGAAGAAATTAACTTGATATAACTTGTTTTAAAAAAACACAGACACATGATATTGCTTGCATTCAGTGTTATAGAGCAATCTTTATCTTGGCTTTATGTCATTTATGACAGATCCTAATGTATCTAGTAATAGAACAAGAGATAAAAACACTCAATAGAATAAATCAGAGTTTAGCAAAATCCAACTATATGTAGTTTATAAGAAGCACATTATAACTATGCTTTTATTGATTTTAGAGAGAGATGAAGGGAGAGGGACACAGAGATAGAAACATCAATGAGAGAGAAGCATTGATCGGCTGCCTCCTGCTCACCCCACACCAGGGATTGAGCCCCCAATCCAGGCATGTGCCCTGATCAGGAAGAGAATCTGTGACCAGTTGTTTTATGGGTTGATGCTCAACCAGCTGGGCCATTATAAATAAAATCTTTAAATGCGGGTAAGTTAAAGGAAAGGGGTACAAAATTTATATATTGCAAACATTTATCTTAAGAAAATGAGAGTGACACTTCAGGACAAGAAATACTACTAGAGATAAAATAATGTGAAGCAAAAACTGACAGAACTGAAGTAGAAATAAATTCACAATAATACAGAAAAATTTCAACTTTCTTCTCTTAGTAATTGATAAAACAAATAGAAAATTCTTTAATATATAAGAATGGAAGAGCAATATCAATCAACTTGATCTAAACCATTATTTATAGAGCACTCCACCAAACAACAATAGAATACATATTATTTTCATAATACATAGATCAATCATCAAGACAGACTATATTCTGGACCATAAGGAGTCTAAAGAAATGTAAAGTATTAGAAGCATATAGAATGTATTCTTTGACCACATAGAATAAAATAATAATTAAATGATATTCTTCAGGGTATTTATTTTTAAAAAAACCCCAAAACAATAATTTGAAAGAATATATGCACCCCTATGTTTACTGCAGTGCTATTTCTAATAGCCAAGATATCAAAGCAACCTAAATGCCCATCAATAGATGAGTGGTTAAAAAAGCTGTGGTAAATATATTACTTAACCATAAAAAATAATGAAATCTTACCATTTGCAATAGCATAGATGGACCTAGAGAGTATTATGCTAAGTAAAATAAGTCAGAGAAAGACAAATACCATATGATTGCACTTATATGTGAAATCTATAGAACATAACAAAGAAATAAAATTGAAACAGACTCATTTCACTTATATGTGGAATCTAAAGAATAGAATAAAGAGACAACACTGAAACAGACTCGTAGATACAGAGAACAGACTGATGGTAGCCAGACGGGAGGGGCGGTTGGGGAACTGGGTGCAAAAGGCGAAGGGATTAAGAAGTAAAAATGAGTAGTTACATAACAGACATGGGGATGTAAACTATATAGCATGGAGAATATAGTTAACGACTATACTGTATTGAAAAAGTGGTATTGAAAAACCCACAAATATTTGGAATCAGCTCCACAATTATCTGCAAGTCAGATTCATCCATTACCCTTTTGGCCTTGCCATACATTAGAAAAAGTTCATCTACCTGGCTTTGGATGCTTAAGTTCCACCACCTGTTCTCTATTATGTGTATGGGGGTGGGGATGAGCTCAGTTCCAGAACGGAATTTCCTGTCAGCCCTGGTCTGCTAAAGAATGCCAACAATGAACTTCTTAATGATGTTGCTGGCCCTCTTACCAGAGCAATCCTTATTGTTTCAGTAAACAGTGTGTTCTTTAGCCCTAGCCAGTTTGGCTCATTGGATAGAGCATTGGCCTTCAGACCAGAGGGTCTTGGGTTCGATTCTGGTTGCAGGCTCCTTCCTGGCCCGGGCCCTGGTCGGGGCTTGTGCAGGAGGAAACCAATCGATGTTTCTCTCACAGCGATGTTTCTCTCTCTGTCTTTCAGAGCCTCTCTCTCCCACTCTTCCTAAAAATCAATAGAAAAAATGTCCTTGGGTGAGGATTAACAACAACAACAAAATAGTGTGTCCTTTGGAACACTGATGTCTAGTGGGTTTTCCACCATCTATAATGTAACCACTCTTTTACTCTCTTCTTCTACCATTTGCATGGTAACTCTGGTATTTCTATTCCCACTTAGTGTAAGCTTTTCCCATGCTTCTAGGAGCCATCCTAGTGTGTGTTTTCACCATCTCTTGGTGTTCTTGCTAGAACTTTAAATCATGTATCCTTGAAAAGGCTCTCAAACTGATAAACTCTCTTTTTCTGCCCTCCTTAATCCAGCAACTTTAGAAATCAATCCATCTATTTTCTCCTAGTTTGTGTTTATAAAAGACTAGAGGCCCGGTGCATGAAATTCATGCACTCGGAGGGTCCCTCAGCCTGGCCTGCACCCTCTCAAAGTCCAGGAGCCCTCAGGGGATGTCCAACTGATGGTTTAGGCTCGTTTGTGGGGAGTGGGCCTAAGCCATCAGTTACTCATCCTTAGTGCTGCCGCAGAGGCAGGAGAGGCTCCCACCACTGCCTCAGCACTCGCCAGGAGTGAGCCGGGTATTTGGCTGAGCGGTGCTCCCCCTATGGGAGCTCACTGACCACCAGGGGGCAGCTCCTACATTGAGCATCTGCCCCCTGATGGTCAGTGCGCACCATAGCGACCGGTCATTCCGCCTTTCAGTCGATTTGCATATTAGCCTTTTATTATATAGAATGGCAAGGTCCTGTAGCTCCTTTGGGATATTGTCCTTTTTCTCTTCTATCATATACAGCATGACTGTGTTTGCTACAACTTATAATTATAGGCTCAGTGGCCAAGTGGGTAGATAGGGCCAAATCCTGAGATTGGCACATGCTGTCTTGCAAGACTGGCTTCTGCAGTCTTTGATCAAGGGAAGAGTGCTGGCCATCAGTAGGGAGAAGTGTAATACTTCTATAGCAGTGGTTCTCAACCTGTGAGTTGCAACCCTTTTGGCGGTTGAACGACCCTTTCACAGGGGTCGCCTAAGACCATCCTGCATATCAGATATTTACATTACGATTCATAACAGTAGCAACATTACAGTTATGAAGTAGCAACGAAAATAATTTTATGGTTGGGTCACAACATGAGGAACTGTATTTAAAGGGCCAGAAGGTTGAGAACCACTGTTATATAGGGATCTTGGGAATCTGAAGATTCAAAATTTGAGTTGGAGTATCAAACCTAAGTGTCACTCACATGTCAGGGTCTGATTTTTCACTCAACCAGGACCATGACCTTAGCATAACAGATCTGCCCAAGTTAAGATTTAATCTTCTTTGAAGTTTAGCTACTCTTATGTTAGTTCCTGGGTCTGGCCCTCAATTTTCTCAGCTCTTCTGCTGAGGAAGATGAGAGCTTCTTTATATGCTACTAAGGAGAATCTCTGCCTTTCATCCCTAGCTTGTCTTCTTCTAAAGCCTCAATTGAGTTAGAAAAGCCACCCAAGTCCATCGCCTTTATGGTTAGTATTTTCCTCCTACTTCTCCAATGGCACTAACCAACATCAGCCAGTATACTTTCTTCTACAAGTACTCCATCCAGCTTCATTACCTGGTCATTTAACACCTGCATTACCACCGTGTATAGGGCTATCTGTCCTCCCCCTACCACCAGCAGCACCACCTATCACAGGTTGGATTCTTCAGGAAGCACACTCCAAGGTGAAGATTACCATGCAGAGGGTTTATTAGGGAATGTCTTTGAGTTCAAAACTTGGGGAAGGGAAAGGGAGGGGAGGGAATAGGATTGGACAGAGGGAGAAACTGAGATGGGATACAGTCTAATGGAAGCTTCCATCAGCCCTGTGGAGATTTCTGAAGATGGGAAGATCCTTCAGAGTTGTTCCCATTTGGGGTGAAAAGGCTGAAACTTTACATCCCTGTGTTAAACAGTCACTGGACATGGCCACCCAGAGAAGAGGTGTGGCTTTGGACTAGGTGGCTTTCTTCAGCCAGAAGCACTCCCAGTTTTGGAACAATTGCCTCTTTATTCCTGAGCGGGATTTGAGTGGCATATCATAGCAATCACCCTTTTCTTCTACAAAAGGACGAACATTTGCTGTGTGTGTGTCACTGACAGTATAAACTAAAGCCATGTGCCTCCTGGTGTCCTGGAGCTCCAGTCTTTGTGACCCTGTCACCCCCAGGACAGTGATAGCGAATCTATGACAGGTGTGTCAGAGGTGACACACGAACTCATTTTTTTGGTTGATTTTTCTTTGTTAAATGGCATTCAATATATAAAATAAATATCAAAAATATGTCTTTGTTTTACTATGGTTGCAAATATCAAAAAATTTCTATATGTGACCATCCATCAGAGTTAAGTTAGGGTTTTTCAAAATGCTGACACGCCGAGCTCAAAAGGTTCGCCATCACTGCCCTAGAACTTCCTGCTTATAAGCCCTGCTGTGGCCACAATGAGGTTTCTTTCTTCTTCTTCTTTTATTTATTTATTCTTCTTTAGCTGGATTTTCTCATTTCTGTTTTGAATATGTTGTAGACAAAAAGGGGGCTACATACTTAAACTTGACAAACTAAAGTAACCACACAGGATGGTCTAACATTGAAACTTCCTAACTAAAACTGAGTCACGGACAGTAGTCATTTCCTAGGGCTGTGATCTTCCTTGACAAAGGTCAATGTTTACCTTAACTGAGCCTGTCTATTGTCTTTATGCATCTACAATAACTTACCTTTGGAATGTCAGAGTAATCCCTTTTTTCCCAGACTTCTCAGGGCACAATCACCTACCGAAGCAGGAAACAACAGGACCCCTCTGTTATGCCCAGATTTCAAGATCTCCATTAGACCACACCAGGGAGCCAGCCGAGTCTGATGATTTATTTTATATATTTAAATGCCATTTAACAAAGAAAAATCAACCAAAAAAATGAGTTCGCGTGTCACCTCTGACACGCGTGTCATAGGTTCCCCATCACTGTCCTAGGCTGTGATCTTCCTTGACAAAGGTCAATGTTTACCTTAACTGAGCCTGTCTATTGTCTTTATGCATCTACAATAACTTACCTTTGGAATGTCAGAGTAATCCCTTTTTTTCCAGACTTCTCAGGGCACAATCACCCACTGAAGCAGGAAACAACAGGACCCCTCATTGCTATCTTGTTCCCCACATACCATCTTTATATGCTGTAAATGTGAGCTATCCTGTCCCCACCTACATAAAAGAAATATTTGTCTCTCCATTTTACTCTTTACCCAATCTCAGAGATTTCCCTGCTTTGCTTTCTCCGGCCTCCCTAATCTACCACCAATGAATTTTATATATGTAACCCTACTTCTGCCTCCTCTTTTGATTCTAATTTATAAAATAAACTGCCAAACTGCCATTCTCTGGAGCATTTTCTCAATCCATTGAGATTTTGCTTCCCAGTAATCGTCATCAGTTTTGTTCAAATAAACTCATAAAAATTCTCTACAGGTTTATATATTTCTTACATCAACAACATTAGTAATTATTGTTTATTAAACACTTACAGTACCAGGCTCTGTGCTAAGGGATATACATGATTTCCTTTCATGAATTATTTAATCATTACTTTAATCCTATTTAGAAAGCATGAAATCATTCTTTTATGGATAAGAACATAGAGATTCAGAGTGAATACTATTGCCAAGTCACACAGCTAGTTCTTGTAGAAATTTGTTTGTGAACCCAGATCTGACTCCCAGTTCCATATTCTTAGTGATGAAACTCACCTGCTTCTTGACCTCCACCTCCCAAGGTCAATTAAGTGTACCGTAGGCCACTGTTTGTAACCAGCATATACTCCTAAACAATGCCCGTTTTGAGGCACATCTTATGGAAACATTTATTAAAGTTATGACCATTTTCTGATACATTCCTTCTACTATATTCAATCCCAAGACTCATCTATCTGGGAAGGCTCAACTGAAGTCCCTTCTAATTGCACTTTTCCCAGGTATTTCAGACCCCAAAAAAACCTGTGTCTAACAAAGCTCTCCCACTGAAGAAAACCACTTTTCCCCATTTTCTCTGCTTAGTGTCTTCATATATTTGTCTGCTCCCTTCGACAGATTGCAAACATCACATGCATTCTTTTCCATCACTACCCTACATAACAAATCGTACATAGGAGACATCTCAAAGCGCATCACATCAATTTTGTATTAGTGTCACGAATTGCTTAGAAATATGCCTTTGGGCTCTCTTATTTTTCCTCATTCTCTAATAATGATTCAACTTTTATCTTTTCTTAGGTTTCCCATGATACTGCAATCCTTATCTACCCTATATATTTTTCATTCTGCACTTCCTCCCTTGTGTGACTCTGCTCTGGGAACCCCAGGCAGTTAAGTTTATTAGTAGTGATTAACACAGCTGGTTTTATGTCCTGTATATCAGCTCTCACAGATGTGGTCAAATTTTTTTGTTGTTGTAGTTATGCTTAAATTCAACAGATCCAGGGAAAATATCTTATGATTTATGGTGTATAGTGGTTAAAGAGAAACGTTAGAGTGGTTTAAATCTTGCTGTGTAAAATATAGTCCGTGGACCAGCAGCTTCACCTGGGAGCTTATAACTCCAATAAATTTAATTTTTTTAAAAAGAAATACAGACGGTTGTGCCCTGCCCAGGCCCACTGAATCAGAATCTACATTCTAATAAGATCTTCAAGTGACTGCTGTGATATTTAGGTTTGAGAAATGCTGGTTTAAAAATCAATTTTCTTAGGAGGAAGAGGGGTGGGGGGACAGAAAGAGACTAACCAAAGAACATATATGCATATAAGCATAACTCATGGACACAGACAATAGTGAATGCAGTAGGCCTGTGGGGGTGCGGGGGGTGGAGGGGGTGAGTCAAAGGGGGGAAAAACGGGGACATATGTCATACTTTGAACACTAAAGATACATTTTTAAAAAGCAACTTAATGGCAGTTCTATGTACAAACGGCTATGTCTGGTGCTTCTAACAGTTCTAATCATCCCGACAGCGCTGAAGGTAGGTAAGTGGTGCTATTTCTACTTTATACGTGAGAAACTGAGGCGCCGATGTTAACTTACCCAAATCATTCTGCTCCGAATCAGTCACACTGATCTTGGAGCCCAGAGCTGTCCGTTTTGAGGACCTGCTCTCTGATTTTCTACTCAGATGTGGCAGACTCCCAGCACTGCCTTCCCGGAGACCTTACCACCCCACAGTGCCCTGCTGGAGCGCCTCCCCCTCAGCAGTCCTCAATCAGTGACTGATGGGAGTCGGTGCCTAAAGACCCCAGTGCCCTGAGCCCTCTGTGAGAGAGCTCTGTGGAGTGTTTTACACCACATCTCAGCGTTTCTCTGCAGGATTAATTTTCAATCCAACACTGTGGTAGCTGGTTTAATAATTTACCTGTTTGTTGGCCGCCTTTCCTTTCCTACTTTTCTGCATCTCCCAATAAAGGATTGATAATTAAGTCCTTATCTCAGACTCTGCTTCTGCGGGGAATCCACATTAAAACAGCAGAAAAGTAAGCTGGCTTCCTACAGAGATTCTGAGAGATTCCTCACACCACACCCCTAGAAGCGCTTCCTCTACAGAGTGAGTTCAACACCTTTAAGAACAGTGAGGTGTCTTTCTGAGAGGAGTGAAAACTGAGAGATGAGATTCTGGGATGTTTATTAAAATGAAGTGTCATAAGGGAATTCAAGGAAAATAAAAAGTGAGTTAACTCCTTCCCCAGCAGGGAGATGATGGGGTTTTCTTCTATAGGAGCCTGTTATTACGGGTGTTTAGACAGAATCTCTTGTCTTTTGTTCACAATTATTTTTCTGTGAGAGAAATAGATAAGCGTCTTTGGGACATACATATTTTATGTCCTTCACACCTTCATGCATAAAAGCCAGGAGATCTCATTGTGTGAACTGAACATCGCGTTGGGACTGTGGCATAAATAAACAAAATAAAGGCTTTATAGATGCTGAAGTTTGTACTCAGGGCCGGCTTCATGGACGTGTGACAGAGGGCCATGAACTTGGTTTAAGTTGTGCTGCCACTGCCTTGAAATTCTTTTTTTTTTTTTTTTGACATTTTTATTTTATTTTATACAATAACTTCCCTTTTATTCCCTCCCATTTATGTTTTTTTTTTT